ACCCACCCCCCCCCCCCCCGATTTATTTTCCCTGCTGTAGCAGTGGGAGGGGGACACATTCAAGGCAAGCCTCCAATAATTAGATTCTGTACCTGGAAATTAAAACAAATTTATACATTTTCCATATATAGAATCTAGCTATTGGGGAGTCGTATATTCAAATAAATCCAGGATTTATGCATGCAGAAAGCTCTTTAAAAACAAACAATATGCAAGGTCTGTAATATGGACAGTGATGAAAAATATTTTTAAAATTAGAGTGAAATTGCTATAGAACACAAACTTTCCAAACCAAACACCTACTCGGAACTAGGCAATGCACATTCCAGAGAACAAGCCCTCCCCACCAACCACATAAACTAGATGAAATATGAGTCACAGGAAGTAATATGTGCTTACCTATTAATAGAAAAGGAGGTAATAGATCTGATAAGGGATGCCACAGCTCCAGCTTTAGCAGCTTCCACTGCTCCCTGGGCTCTGTATCGCACAGTTTCACCATAACTGATGTAAGGCTGATTATAAACAACAATCTTCCCCTTGGCTTCTTCAGCTCTTTTGTACAGCTCATCAAATGAGGACACTACTAGGACTTCAGCTGTTATTCCTGGAAGTAAATGGTACAGTACTTTTAGACAGTCGCCTTTTCACCATCCTCAAACCACTTTGGCACACACAAGAATGCCTGCCTGTCCTGTACCGTGTGCACAGGCAAACCAAGTAAAGATCAAACCTGAAAGCCTCTTACGGGAAGCCTATGTAAAGTATTTCCTCAGAGAATGATATTCAATACCTGCAACTGTGCCCTGAACAGAGCAGGCCTCGTTGTATAAATCATGCTATTAGCTGGTGTTAAAATATAAGTTAGAGAGAAGGCAAAAATACTTTTTTCTCCATTTGGGTTGCAATGCTGGACTACAATTATTTACAATGCATAAACATTCAGAAAGACTTCCTATGGGATTCATTAAAAAAAGACAGCAATCTTTTCATGCAATTGTTTTGATATGTTGCTAAACAACTTAGGCTGACATCACACCAATGAAAATGCATACATAGTTTGGGAATGATGTGTTCCATAAATCCAGCCTGTCACAAATGTAAATGATTTACAGTTTCTGGAAAAAAGAATAGACTGACTGCAAGAGATTCTGCAGTATACTTAAAACCAAAAATACTGCTTATATTTAAATTGTTGATCACAGAACAGCAACAAAAAAGGACACTTTTTTTAAACACCACTTTTGGAATTTTTAAAAATTTGCTATCATCCTATTACTTTGCTTAAGAAAACAAGGGCATTTATAGGCAGCTAGTTTTTTCCCATATCATAGAAAGCTTCCCACTTCACAGAACATGTATTTGTGAGCTATATTTCATGACTTTTGAAAAATCATTCACAAAAAAACCATGATGTGTTAGATCTAATGGTGTGGATTGGTTACAGAGAAAAGTAGAAACAGTTTAACAACAAAGGCCAGACTTCATTTGTAAATATAGAAGTAGTAATGGATGCTTGCAGTTTTAGTGCCCTACATCTTACCTAGAAATCACAAATTACTTCAGTAAAAGCTGAAAGTATTAACTGACTCGTTTGCCTTGTTTCATAAGTTATTGAAACATTTTTTAAAAGAAACTGAATCTTCTTGATGGGTCTTACATATCTCATTGTAACACATTATTTCAAAAATTATTTAGAAAAGCTTTTAAACTAACTGCATATGCTAAAAATACATAACTGACATGAATAACAACTCTTAGGATCTCTCTCCCAGCATCATACTTACCCAACTGATGCCCAATTCATGGGTTTTTATGCAAAAAAAAAAAAAAAAAACAACCCCAAACAAACCACACTTTACCAGAAGAAGCAGTGCTTTAGTTTGACCCAGCTCTGCATCATCTGTATAGAGTGGGCACTTCAGCTGGGCTTTTTGATGCTTTTATCTACTGAATCAGCTAGTAGATAAAAGCGCCAAAAAAGCCCCACTAAAACACCCGATATATATAGATGTTG